TTTCACTGTTTTCCCGGGCAAGATGTTCCTTCTGGTCCAAAGAAATGGCGCCATTTTCCGTTTCTTTTTTTGTCCACGGGGGGGGGGGTGGGGGAGGGGTCCATTATTGTTATTGTTTTCTTGTGGTGGTGGCAGCCATTACTACTCTTCCTAGAAGCAGGAAAATCGTGGATCCTTTTGCCATTTCGATTCCATTATTTTCTCGGCCGCGTCTTGAAATAAAGCCAGCAGTTCGACAACGACAAAGTCTTGCCATGCACCAGCATACTGAATCCTGACAAGCCCAAAGGTAACTAGGAGCTTCTCCTGCTACAATCCTGCACGAAATATAACTAAGATAACTCATGTAAATCCAAATAAGTTCACAAAATCCCTCCCGGAATCGGACACCGCTTAAGATGGTGATCGAATGCCTCTCCTCCGAAGTTGAGCCTCCAAACAAAGACAAAGCAAAGCTGTGTGTGGGACAGCGGGGTAGAATTCCAGACGGACGATGCACTCGCCGGCCTTACCTGACGTCCGGCCCGTGGCCTACTGTCTTCATGCAAACCTTCCGACTCCGACTCAGGATCGCACATAAGAAACTCCGGGCTGAATGTTTAGAGGCTGTCTTGGAACTGGTGGAGCTTGTCCAGCCCTGACATCGCAACAGCATACACGACTGTGCCCCCAAACGTTGGGCCAACTCATAACTCGTCACACACACACACAGGATTTCACTGGGTCCAGGACCAGCCAAATTGAGGAGCTCCTAAGCCATGTTTGCTTCATGGGGATGGGCGAGGTCGGTGAGTGGAAAGAGCAAGCATGCACGACAGGGCCTGCGCCGCAAGGTTGGGATGGTGGGCCACCCCACCTCAAGCGGAGGGCTGCACTTTTCGATCAAGCGACAGATCGACAGGGCCATGTATTGGTCTTAAACTTGAGAACCAACGCCCGCCTTCCAAACTTCCCGCCTCCTCACCGGTCAAAAAATCGGGTACTCCAATTTTCAAGTGTTGGCATGTCTCACGCCAGTCGGCAGAGCGCGCCTTTGGGCGACCTCAAGACAGCCAAGCACCACTTTTTTGGCTTTTGGCAGTCCGGCAGCTCAAGCCGCAACCCCCCACTGAGCATTCCGGCCACGGCGCTGCAGGATTACAAGGGCTGCCGTAACATCCTGAACGAATGCAACGCACAAGAAATGGTCAGCACCAGGGACGAAAGAATCCAACATTGCTGTCATTCGTTCCCTTTTTGAATCACGCAAGTTGCTGCCGCAATCCTTGTAATCCTGAGGCCTCTCCTCGACATGTTATTTGCGCGTGCATGCATGTTCTTATGAGCGCATGATAGAATGATCGACAGATAGATAGACAGACACATAGAAAGATAGATGAGTAGATTAGATAGATAGATAGATAGATAGATAGATAGACAGATAGATAGATAAATAGATGGGTAGATAGATAAATACATAGATAAATAGATAGATAGACAGATAGAAAGAATAGAAAGATAGACAGATAGACAAACAAAAAGATAGAACGATAGATGGATACATAGATAGACAGATAGATAGATAGATAGATAGATAGTTAAAAACACATAGACAAGGCACATAGAAAGAAAGATAGATAGATGCACAGATACATAGACAGATAGATTGATAAATAGATAGAAAGATAGATAAGACACATAGGTAAATAGATACATAGATAGATATACAGATAGATACATAGATAGACAGATAGATAAATAAAAAATAGAAAGATAAATAGATAGATAGATAAATAGATGGGATACATAGACAGACAGATAGATAAATAAAGAATAGTAAGATAAATAGATAGATAGATAGATAGATGAGATACATAGATAGATAGATAGATAGATAGATACATAGATACATAGATAAATAGATAGACAAGTAGAAAGGATAGAAACAAAGAAAGATAGACAAATAAATAGATAGATAGATACATGGATAGACAGATAGATAGATAGATAGATAGATAGATAGTTAAATAACAAAATAGATAAGATACATAGATAGAAAGATAAATAGATACATAGGTACATAGATAGATAGATAGATAGATAGATAGACAGATAGATTGAAATATAGATACCTAGATCGACATGTAGATAAATAATAATAACAGATAGATGAAATAGATAGATAGATAAATAGACAGGCAGATAAATAGATATGTATAGATAAATAAATATACAGATAAATACATGAAAGATAGATGGCAGATAGATAGATAGACAGATAGATAGATAGACAGACAGATAAAAGATAAATAGATATGAATAAATAAATAAATATACAGATAAATACATGAAAGATAGATGGCAGATAGATAGATAGACAGATAGATAGATAGATAGATAAGTGTTTATCTATGTATCTATCTATCAATGATAGATAGATACATAGATAAACAATTGATAAACAGAAAGAAACAGAAAGGTGGATAGATAGATAAACAGATAAATAGATGGGTAGATAAATAGACAGATAGAGAAACAGATAAATAGATAGGTAGATAGATAGGTAGATAGATAAATAGATAGGTAGGTAGACAGATAGATACATAGATTGATAGATAGATAAATAGACAGATAGATAAACAGATACATAAATAGGTAAAAAAATAAATATATACAAAGATAGATAGATGGATAGATAGCTAGATAGATAGGTAGATAGCTAAAGAAAGATACATAGATGGATAGACAGATAGTTACATACATGGATGGATAGATACATAGATACGTAGATAGATAGACAGATAAATAGATAGATACGTAGATAGACAGGTACAATGATATATAGATAGACAGATAGATAGATGAATAGACAGACGCATGTATGTACGCAATGCTTTACTATGTATATGTATAGACATACATACATATGTATGCTTATATCGAAAGAGAGAGACATATACAAACGTATATACATACTCTCACATGTATGGCAATGTGTGCTACTCCCCCTGCGTTATCCGCCCTTTGTGGGTGGGAACGGACCGAGTTGAGCGTTTCCTGGGCCGCGATCCATGTCTGCTCCGGCTTCTCGAACAGGCTTATTTTGATTCTTAAAGTAATACGTCACTCTTAGAAGACCTACGCGGCAAAGCATGAAAAATCAACCTAATTTAGAGAACCCTGCATGTAGAGAAGCCCTCTCGCCAAGCGAACGCTGAAGGGCGGAAACCAGAATTAAGTAGTAACTATGCAATCCACAACCCCTGCTTTCTCCGAGAAATTCTCAATAGAGAAACTTTAAAAGAAGGCCATGGGTTCCTAAATATACCTGAAGTCTTCATAAGGGGCACTGCAAAGTGCAGCGCATCTTCCCTGATTGAAAGGGTCTTGAGCTTTTTCGGAATTCGTTGTACACCAAGGATCACCAAGGGTTTAGGCGTTAGGGGCCTGATTCAGAAACCTCCAGGCTAAAGAAGCTCCTAACACGGATCCCATAATTTACGGAATTTCGAACCATGCGCTTCTTAATCATGCTGGTAGAGTCTGCCTAATGGGTTTTTGGAGCTTATGTTGAAACGTATCTACATGTCCGGAAGCGCCAAACAAATGATTTAAAATCAAATGCCAGGATTGAAAAATCAGACGGGTGTTTGTAAAACTCAATAGGATAGCTATTTAAATGTCTTGGAACACGGTTGGCATGTCTCGAACGGGTATTTAGATGAGTCAGACGGCTAGCTGGATTCCATACAATGGCAACGGTATTGCCTGAACTAAGAATATCTGCATAATTTGAAAAATCCTCAAAAGAATGAAACTTGCACAGACGAGAGAAATGCCGTGATTTGGGGTGGCGTAATCAAGATCGAAAGTCTTGAAGCTATCTAACTGGCTTGAACTTATCAATCTGGCTACTAAATGTTCGAAACGTTTTCCAGCCTCCCAAGCGGTTGAAACAAGAAACAAGTCGAAAATTGCTTGGATGGGCTAAAGAATTTCAGGCTATGTGGATCTGCATCTAGATAACTGCAGGAGGTATATCGATAACTTAGATATGGAACCATGTTAGTTACTGCAGACGGCTATTTAACAAAGTTTTGAGAGGTATATGTCGGTAACAGCGTTTAGAAAGGCGAAGAAACACATCGGCACCCAGGAGTTAACCAAAGGGAGTTGGGCGGTTTGGTCCTGCTGGAAGCTTGGAAATTGTTTCAGTTTTCTGCAGCTGTCCAAACTGGTAACATACATCCTTCGAAAATTGTCCAAACCCTTAAATAGGTTTGACATGATTCCAAAGGTTACTCTGATAGTTTAGAAGCGGGATTCTATAATTTTAGTCAGGCATTTCGAGAATTGACAGAGGTATTCTTTGATGTCATTTAGGTGGGTTCCGACGAACACAATATCGCAATACGATGCTTTAGACATCTTTAGACTTTATGGTCGACACTGCCAGAACGGCTCAAGCCGGATCATCGAAGAACAACACTGAAGATTTCAGACATAATTTTGCGAGAATCTTCGAAACGCTTGAAACGGCTCGAGCCGGCTTGAATATGAACTTCACCATCGACGGCTGGAAGTCGAAAATTTCAGAAAAAGTTTTGATGGAATCTTCGATTTCGTGAAATGGCGTGGAACGGCTTCGAGCCGCGTCACCGATGATTGAAGACTGAAAATTTCAGAAGGGTGGCTTGAAACGGCTGGAGTTCAAGCCGCATCACCGAAGACTGAAGATTTCAGAAAAAAGTTCTCCGGGAATCTTCGATTTAAGGGTGGGTGGCTTAAGGGCTTGAACTGGCCGGAGTTTCAAGCCGGATCACCGGAGATTGAATTGAAGACTGAACTTTACTGTGAAAGGCTTTGGGTGGGACTCTTCGATTGAGGGGCGGAAGGGTTTGAGCCGGCTTGAGTTTCTATCCGATCCGTCGTAAAGTTGAAGATTCCTGTCAAGACTGCTCTGGGTATCTTCAATCTTCCATCTTCGGTGGACAAGCCGGTTCAAGCGGTTTCAGGCCGGCTGGGTTTGGGGGTGCATGGCTAGAAATAGCTTGAAGCGTCTGAAGTTTCAAGCCAACCCCGCGTAAATGGAAGATTCCTCTCAAAACACTGCTGGGGATCTTCAATCTCGAATCTTCGGTGGACGGGTTTCAAAACTCGAGCCGATTCAAGCCGTTTCAAGACGGCTGGGTTTCGGCTCTCACACTCGGCAATGCAGGCGAAGCTTGTGGTCTTAAGTCGGCTTTGGTGAAGTTAGCCTTAAGAGACAGCTTGGACGAAAACATTGGGATCGAAGAAGTGTCCTTTGCTTTCCGTGCCCGATGTCCTTCATATACGAGAATGCTTAGTTCAGGACCTCGAGCCTACTCGTATACCTAGGATCGCACAAAGGGGGCGAGGACAGGACCATCTACTATCGTATGAACTAGTCAAATTCACAGCACTGAAAGGCAGGACGATCCCCTTCGTGAGGTTAGTGTCTCTTCAAGAGACTCTCATTATGTACATGTCAGGACTTCAATCTACTCCTAACTCAGGATGCAACAACCGGCTGGGTTTTTTTGCTAGTGCCCTGCGCG